TATAACCAAATATACAATATAATTATATGCTTTACATATTTTAGTTAAATAACAATTTTATCAAAACATTTTTTGAACGACATATTGTATTTAGTATCCTTAAATACAAATAACTTTTAAAATATTTGAAACATAAATTATTTATTTATTCTTTTAAAATTACTGATGGTTATAAATTATTATCATTTACTTGATTTGTACGAAACAAATAAAACGTAGTTATTACTATGAAATGTGTGGAGGATATTAAATGTTTAAACTAGTTTTTACCAAGAATGTCTATATCATGTAAGTAGCTACATAAGTAGATACATCATCTGTCTGTATAAGAGAAGGCAAATACCTACACAAGTACATAGTAACAAATTTCAAATTTACTGCGTTAACTACTATTTTAAACTGTAAATATATTTTATCAGAGTGGAAGATATCTCCAATAATTATAATTAAGTTGTACCAATTTGAAAAAAGAATATTTTATGGAAACATCATAATTTACTGTGTGAAAATCCRATAGCAATCGTAAATAATGGGATATATTTTATGATTATTTAAAGACTAGAAAACATTATAAAATCCCACGAAGATAGGGTGTAAATCGAAAAATGAATTTAACTGGTAACGAATTTAGAAATTCATACCAAGTACAAATTCTTGTTTTCCTAAGACTATATAATATAAAGTGGTGACAAGCGGTTACCGGAGGAGGCTGTGTGGAAGGCGGTGGATTGAATCTGTGTTCATTGCTCTGGTTGCCAGTGTAAATCCATGCGGGTGTGTAGCCATTGCAACTACCGGCCAAGGACTTGCTGGAGTGGATGTGTGACTGTTTTGAGAAACTTCCAGCGTGCATACGACGACTTGATTGTGGACTGCCGCCATTAGACTATAATATAAATAGAAAAAAAAATATATTATATACATTAAGTCATTATTTTTAAATAATGAATAAAAATAAAAAACAACGATTCTAAGTGACACTTGGTTGAAAGTTCAATATCTTATAAAAATAAATGGCGTTGGAAAAAATTTCAATATTAAGAATTATTCAAAATCTGTTATTTTTCATAATTKAATTCTATTCAATATAATAATATACATCTGTATTTGAAATAATTGAGCAGATTTTCAAGTCTCACAGTTTCGAATTCTTATTTTYGAATAAAAACACYAAAATTGATTTTATGAAAAACAGCAGATTTTATGTAAATTATAGCTTTTTACATGAATAATAAAAAAACGTGAAACTATTACAATGACCAAGTTTAAGTATCAAATCATCATCAATCTTTCTAATACCCGAAACCATCACAGACATAAAAAAAAAAATAACAGAATCTTAAAAGCACCAATGAGACGACCGTAATCAATTGACGGTGTAACCGAGAGAGTGTGACGAACTAAGAGCACATACCTGAGATGTTTTCCGCATAGAATCTGTCGGCGGGTGTTGAGGGGGTGGTGGGAGGAATTCGTTCCAATTCGGGGGCGGCGCTTGATTRATCGGATAGATTGGTGGTTTCCGCTTGTGATTGTTGAAGTCCATGTTTTCGTCTACAAAAGAAGAAAAAAGTGTTACGTAGTTCATTGAAAATCAAAGCCGTAATTTAAAGCTGTAAATTCTATACTGGGCTTACCAATGTAATGGTTGTTGAGTGCGGCCACTTGTTCGTGACATCGTTCATGACACGAACCATTAGAGCTCAGTGTTTTGGTTTCAGATGAGCTGCTAGCGGCCCCGAAGAGATGCGTAGATTCCTAAAAAGACGTGATCGATGAAAWAAAATTTACAATTATCAGTATTTTGTAACTCGTACATTTTGAAATTGTACGGGTGTTTAAAATTAAAAAATCAAAGMTGCGTTCTATCGTTCTATGTACGTATGAGTATTTTCGTATTTACCCGTGGGTCGATATATCTCTATCGACACTTGAGTTACCAAAAGACTATAAATAAACCCTTTACAGTTTAGCTCTCATGGAGTCGATATGGCTACCTAACTGCATGTTTAGACTTTCAAACTCAACGACCATAAATTAACGGGTTGAGATCGAACTCAAGGAGTACGGTAGAATTGTGTGACTCCTCAAACATAAGATATMATTTTATAGGTAGGATGGTAGGAAACAATTTTTATAAAAAAAATAAAACAGTTACGATCGTCGTACCTGCACTCCCCGCCGAATTACACATTGATAATAAATGTCTACAATATATGACAGTATTTTGTCAAACGACGAGAAGGTATTATATATATAAGTAATAAATGAAAAGTATGAAACGATTTTGAATTTTATAATACCCCCCAATCATATGTATACTCCTATATATGGCATACGAACTGAAAACAAAACAYGAAGTGGACATTTTATATRTGGAAATTCATAGAATTTGTTATAAGTATAGTGGTTTTAGWGAGAACAATTCAAGAACATGACAGTAATAATATATCACTAAAGTGTAACGRYGAGAGTACGAGAGACGTGCCGAAAACGTCGAACATCGGTGGTATAAGTGTTTATTTAAAAGGTAAGTGRAGGGCTAACTGTTTTTTTTWAAATTACGAACTACATTCAACATGTATTAAAAGATTAAAAATGTWCRCTATTATACTAAAAAAAAGTGTTCGAGGGCCTAAGACAAAAACGATAAGGCGGGTTATGAATATATCTCTGGTCGAAAGCCTATAAATTTCGGAACTTACATTGCAATCGTCGCGATTCAGCAGAGTAGTAGTGGCGTATGGTGTTGGGTTGGACATCATGTCTTTGCGTGGGTTGTAGAACGTCGACAAGTTCCGGGTGTCCACCTCTGCGTAGTCCGCGCAGGTCGTTTCCCTACCGATGCCGTTCAACAGTTTGGACTCGGGGTCCTTCTCCCCGTTGCGCCAACCACGGTCGATCCACAGCGCCTCCTTGCCACCAGCGCTCAACATGCTCAACTGCGATAGGTCACCACTGACAACTGGCACTGCAATGGTACACATCGATATAGCGGTAAAACACAGGTGCATACTGCATATTATATAATATACCACGGGATACACGTATACCAATATGGTAACCATGCTGTAACCATTGTTACCTCGTGCTCGCCCTCGCACGACACGACAAATAACGTGGCTGCGAATCCGACTTAAGTACTAAATGTGATGTTATATTATTTTATGTTTACCGTTGAAGTGGCCCAACTGTTTGCCGGCGTTCTGTTTCCGTTTCAAGTAAACGACGGTAACGATGACGCACGCCAACATGACGACAAGAGCCGCCAACAGCACGATGATCCACGCCTCGCCATTAGTAGTGGACGAATACGCCCTTGCAGGGTAAGCTGGGTCCATGACGATTGGCACCGGGGCGCTATACGGACCATACCCACTCCGGGTGTACGCTTGTACCCGGGCCGTGAAGCTGCCACCCACCGTCAAGTTGAGCAGAATTGTCGTGGTCGACGAGTTCAACAGCTCTTGGACGGCGGCCTTTGTAGCGTTGTTATTCTTGACTTGTATCTAAAGATAACACGATTTCGACGTACCCGTTAATTACGTGTACAATATAGGTAGGTACCTCGATGGCTCGATGTAACAATTATATCGTATAACTCATTAGTCATTAGGTTAGGTATTTTTCCTAAGAACTTTTTGCGGGAACTTTTTGATGTTTTTTTTTACCTTTAAGTGCTTTCTTCAACGTTTTAAGGTTTTAACGTTTTAATCTTAAGACATATTATTTTTAACTTATTTACTATAGTATTATGAATATATATATATATTACACGTATTATACTAAAACAACAAAAGGTAATCTGCAAATGTTTAAATAAAACGATTCACAAATTAATTTTGATTTCTAAAAAAATTCATTCATTCAAGGGAATTGAAACAWCTTTTAGAATTTTTGGAATATAAATGCATTTGAAAGTATATTTTGTCATATTTTCAAGGGCATTTTAATCTGAGTCCTACTCATGCTATTCATAATATTTAATCAGGCCCACCGTGTTATACCTACGGTGGTATTGGGACAACATATCCAGTAGTAAAATATCCTGCAAGCTCAAAATATCTGATGGATAAAATATCCAAACACAAATACAATTTCAAAACCTGCTCGAAAAAAGAATAATAATAAAAATTATATTATTCTTTTAATCACRTTTGGGCGAAAAGAATTTGATATTATTTTACATTGCAATACCAAATATACCAAATATGATACATTATAGTTTGTTTGTAGGAATTTGTAAAGAAACATATTATTATTAAATGCTTTTAAAATATGATTTAAAAATGAACAATGTAATCAATTAAACAATCACTAAAAAAAATTAACTACCAAAAAAATTTTGAAGTATTATTTTCAATAGTGCGTWTACTCACTTTATATCCCAACAGAGCGCCGTTGATGTGTTGCGGTGGAGGTGCCGACCATCGTATGAACGCGGTAGTGGCATTTACCATACCAGTTTGTACGTCTTCTGGAGCAGCGGAAGGAACTGCAATRAAAAAATAATGACCGATCGAAGGTTTAAAGAGATTTTGAAAATATAAGGTTATGTTTAGATGTTATTATTAAATATTTTTTTTAGCTTGTTCACTTACCATCCTCGTAGGTTTGGACGACCATGGAGTTGGATGGTTGGCCTTCGACTGTCTTAAAGAACGGAACCAAGAAGAAATCGTATTTGTTGTACTTACGGAGGTTGGCCAATGTGTAGGACTTGGGCTCACCGTTGTTCATCATTACTGTCATCATGTTATAGGTTTGCGAGCCACCTGATAAGTCTCTGAACCGTACGTGAATACCTTCTACCCATTCAGCGCTGCTCAATACCTTAAACGTAWACACAAATGTAATACAAGTTAATTTTCTGCCGGAAAAAATAATTGATGTAATGGTATACATACATCCCATATGACTCGGACCGATGTCGACGATACCGGAAACAGTTCTTTGAACTCTATGACTTTAGTACCAAGTCTTTCACGGGCTTCTTCCAGAGACTGCTGCGTGATGATCGTATTGGTCCCACCGGTTTTAACCATAGCGGACAACGCGCTCGGCACGCTCAAYCCGTGTGAGTTTTCTGCCCTCACCATAAACACGTACGATGTGTCCGGTTTTAGGTTGTCGACCTGAACATGTAAGCACACGTAAACATTATACTGTGGGTATACTTAGTTACTTACAATACATCAAATTTCGAGCTACGAAAACGGTGAGGATTACGTAAATACTCAAACGATCGCAACCGTTTCATGACGCGAAATTCGAAATACTGACTGTAAGCCGCGTGACAGATCTTATCGGATTAAAAGCAGACTGATATTAAACAGATACCGCGCTTGGCTAATATACTCACGACCATGGTGTTGGTTGATATGCGATGTGCGGCGACCACCCATCCAGTTTGCAGGTCCGAACTGTAGTACTCGAGCGTGTATCCGATGATCGGAGAAGCGCCAAGGTGTGGGGTGGGTGGGTGCCAAGTCACSGTTACCGAGTTTCTGGTAACGTTTACAATGGTCGGCACTGACGGAGCCGCCGGGAACATGGCCGGGTCAGGAGCGCGGTGAAGTCGTGTGCCCGGGGATTCTTCGACACTCAGTGACGCCGACCAAGAAGTCTCGCCACTTTCCGAAGAAGCAGTGCACGTGTACAGACCAGAATCAGATACTTCGAGTTCTAAAGGCATACACAAATAAGATAGGTTATAATTCGATCATAACGACGGTTTATTATATAGTAGGATTAACGTATCCACAGTTTGGAATAAGTTTATTTAAAAAAAAAAAACGCGTTGTCGTAAGGAATTTATATAGCGTAGCATAGGTAGGCGTGTAAAAAATGAAAACCGCGAAAAAGGTTTATTTTAAATAAAAGCATTTTTATTACTTATTTTTTATTTTTACTTCCATAAAAAGTGCGTTGAATAATAAATTATGCACACCAACTTAAAGTTCGAGATGCTGATTACATACAGTACAGTACTATAATAAATATATCAAAAAATTCATAATTATTTTAAAGATTCAATTTGAACAACATAAAAAACTTAGTTTTCTGAACGAAAAATACAGTATTTGGTTTTGCTTTTAGTTACGTAGWTAAATGTATAATTAATAAATACAACTGACGATTTTAGCTTGCTTATTTTGCATTTCAAAAGAATCCTGAAACGAGGGACTTTTTCAAATTATATGATAAATAATACGCTAATATAATCAGACTTGACGGTATTTTAGCTTTTACACTTAATTTTTATTAAGAAAAATAAATTTAAAAAGAATTCAAATTTAAGTTCAAAGGTAGGAGAAAGTTATTTCTTCTCCTTTAAGATTTTGAAGAAAAGTATAGATATAGTACAAGCAGAGTAAATAATAATAATAATAATAATATTTTATTATTTATTTATACGAGTTTAAAAATAAAATACAGAGTAGCTACTATATATTATAAAGGGCTTTTCCTTTTTCTGTTTAAATTCATAATAAATAAAAGAAAATTTTCAATAAATAAAATCATGAATAGCGCTAACAGATTGTGCAATATCGTTATATGATGTGCCTGATGTGTACCTAATGTATGTAAATATGTGTTATGGTTTTGATATGGAAATAAAAATACTATATTATTTTTATTATTAATATAATAAAACTTTCGTACCATTTTAAACACCAAAATATTACAATAACATATAGAGACTTACCGTCTATTTGTAGTGTTCCTGACGATGTAATGGTCACTCTGGGATCGTCTGGAGACAGATAATTTCCGTTTCTGTACCATTTAATGGTAGGCAATGGTATACCAGACGCCTGACACGGTAATGTGGCAGCTGATCTCGTGGCCAACGTTTGGTTGGTTGGTCCAATGTCGACGACAGGTGGAGGAACGTCTTGTACGGATGTGACCTGCAGACAGTGATCGGAAAATGCAATAATCATTGTGGTTGGCGTTTCGATAATGCGAAAACGTGGCGCTATATAAAGTCGAGAGTTGTATACATGCTGATTCCCCAAACACGATTACCAAAATATTTTTTTTTTTAATTCGGAACTTATAAGTTTGATAACTCATTTGAGTTATGATTTATATGCGCCAAATGCACATACAATTTTTCCAAAACAATATTTAAAAAAAACGGAGGTTCTTATTGTGAAGTTTTTCTACAATTAAAAAATGCCTATTTAGACACACACACACACACACACAAAAAAAAAATAAAAAAAAAAATAAACGAAAACACATCTATGTAAAATTAATATTCTGAGAATCTAAAACACACCGTATGGTAAAACCAATAGAATCATCACTTTGATTCAGAAATGTATAATCGTATCAACTTATTAGTCCAATCCTTAAATATTATAAAAATTCTGTAAATTGTAGTATTTAATTGAAAATATCATAGTCTTTCGGTAAATATATATATACTTATATATATATATACAGTATACACATACTAAAAAATTCCAAAAAGCAGAATTTGAATAAATGCATTATTTATCAAGGATGATCTGCATGCTTGGCGAATGTACGGTACTATCACCTCTTGAATATTTGCCATAAAATCTAATTTTTATAGATAATAATTGATTAATTTAAAGGGTTAGAAAACCATGACCAGGGTATAGTGGTGTCAACTCAAATWACACGATTAGAATATTATGAGGATACAAACCTGCAAAAACGCTCTCCAAGTGACGGACCCCGCTACGGACAGTGCGGAACACACGAGGAAACCGGCGTCTTCTTTTTGAGCTCCCTGTATGCGCAGCGTGCCGTCTTGAGTGACGTGAAAATGTCCGTACGCGTTGCCGGGAAACATCAGCACCTGGGATCCTTCACGTGACCAAAACACAGACGGCGGTGGGTTGCCTTGGGCCACGCAGTCGAAATTTGCAATTCCGTTGAGACCCACTTTTTGGTCTTTGGGTCTAGTCACAAATGTCGGCGGGGCTAGAACAGGGGATGAGATTAACATAGTAAAATATAATGTGTTGGAGGTTTGCATTTACAATTCAAAACGGAACGACGATATTGTTATGTRCACGGAGCTGCAGTAGCAGCTTGTGAAACTATATACAATAGGCGATTTGTGTATGATATATGAACAATCTGTTTGAA